CCAGTGGAGCACGTAGGATTTTGAAAAGGATTTTGTACCGCATGGACAACATCCAAACTGTGTCCAGGGTCATTAAAATTTGTCGGGGATACCACCTGCCCCTAGACATTACTGCTGTTGACTATGAAAAAGTGTTTGAAAGTGTCGAAACGAATGCAATCGTATCAACGCTCGTCGACCAAGGAGTGAACCCGTCCTACATAAGAATTCTGTTTGACTGTTATCGGAACTATATTAAGAAAATGCAGCTTTTCCATCGACCTCTTCCCATATCCATAGGAAGATGAGTTCGACATGGATAATGAAGTCACTCGAATGGTATGAGAAAAGCATACGCATTCGAAATCATCTCAAAAAGTACCAGTGAAGCTGAGACGACGATTATTGAGCTCAATCGAGCGGAAAGAAAGACCACACTACATGTAAATCGGAAGAAGGCCCAGTTCATGAAAAACTCATAGCGCGCAAGCAAACAAATTGAACTGGATGGCTCTCTGATTGCAGAGACAACCTGGGAAGTAAAACTCAAGCGATCAACGAACATAGATAACAACATGAATAAGGAATTAGACAGAAGGAGAGCAACTTGCGCCACGTTCAATCTCTCAAAGAAACCAATGACTAACAAACAGACCCAAAACTTTGCGCTCACTTTTTCAATTTAATGGTCCTCCCAGTGCTCCGTTATAGTGCACTACCACACTACTTGAACGATGTCTTCGAAAATTTAACTGGCGCTCGCAACATCTGGCCGAAATGCGCAGCTTCGATCTTCAGAACCTATCGCATCGTCGGGGTCCAGAAGAATACAAACCAACAGTGAAACATAGATAGGCCGGTCAAGCAATGAGAAGAACAGGTGAGAGACGGACGAAAATAACTGTAAAGTGCACGATGACGCAGTCTCCTAGTACAACCATTTACACGTTGGGCGGATATGTTCGCAACTGAACTTAATTAAAGGGCAGGTCAGTGTTGATTTGCAACTCTATTAGGTCTAATGCTAAAGTAACTTTGTGGAGAAAGTTCGAAAACCTTTTGAGTAAATCACATAACACAGCTTTAATAGCGCACAAAAATATCACTAAGGAACATCAAACAGATCACAATAGGGTAGGTAATCTGCAAGAAAATTCAAGGCTAACCGTGTTAGGAGGCATGACTCTCCCTGACGGTGCGCGCTCGTTATTAGAATTGGGGCCGAGTTTCTCACCATTTGAACCTCATCTAACGAACACCCAAATGTTCTTGGATCGTCTACATAACGCGCGACCCAACAACGCGTACGTGGTGTCCTTTGACTTACCGCCCCGTATACAAACGTGTCGAATGACTCCGCAATGCAAGCCATATTCGAACTCACAAGATAACCTTGCGTAGGGTCGCATGTGGTTTACACGAACTTCAAGATAGACTCCGCAAAAAAGGTAGAGATGAAGCGCTAAATAAGTGCGAACAACACTAAGTGGGGGCCCTACCAATAGCATAATTTCCCCGACGTTCTTTAGACAACAAGACCCCATTAATGAAGTTGATGTTAAATTTCGGATGTTTACGAATCAAACTTTCAAAGTCCTTAATCACTATCGCGCGAAAAGCTACAGCTCAAACCTCACTCTAGTGCAAAAACGTGGTATGCGGGAGGTACGAGACCTGATAAGATCAAAAAACATAAGACTATCGGTTAGTGATAAGGGTGGAGAGTTCGTTGTAATTCCCCATCAATTAGATGTTGAGATAACCGAAAAGCACCTTGAAGATGCATCCCCTTATCGTCCATCGTCTGAAAAGGAATTTAAAAGTCAATACCGAAAGTTAAACAACAAATGGGTTAAAGCGGCAAGAGCGGCAGGGTTAAAACCATCAGTTATCTCTCATCTCAAAATTGACCTACCAACATGCCCCGTCCTGTACTTACTTATCAAAACCCATAAGTTAGTATCCAGCGATGATCTCGCGTCCACCGATCCATCGTTATTTAAGGTTAGACCTATCATTGCGTGGACGGGCCAACGGATAAAATAACGTGGTTAATAACACTAATACTTACTCAGTTGTTGAAGTACATTCCAGCTCATCTAACGAACACCCAAATGTTCTTGGATCGTCTACATAACGCGCGACCCAACAGCGCGTACGTGGTGTCCTTTGACTTACCGCCCCGTATACAAACGTGTCGAATGACTCCGCAATGCAAGCCATATTCGAACTCACAACACGAAGGAGAAATAAACATGTATGGCTTCAAGATAGAGCACCTGATGGCACTCTTAAAAGAATGAGCTGCTCAATCTTCAGATGGTCCGGAAAGTACTACGCTCAAATAAGAGGGTTGGCAATGGGACAACGACTGGCTCCAAGCCTTGCCATTGCATTTATGTCTAAGGTGGAAGCACCGGTGACTAATCTCGGGCGGCTACTCTACTGTAGGTATGTAGACGACTGATTTGTCCTTTGCTCAACACAAGAGGAAATGGACAAATGTTTCGAGTTGTTAAATAAACAGTCACAGTATATCAAGTTCACCCGAGAAAAGCCGAAAGAAAAATGGCTTCCATTCCTGAACGTACAAATTCACCTATCAGAAAATGGCTACATTACAAAGTGGTACCGAAAGCCAAGTAGTAAAAACATCTTGGTTCATTAACTCTCCTCTCACCCCTCTCACACGAAAAGGGCGCTTATAAGAAACATGTTTCGAACAGCAACCAACGTGTGCACGAGATGAGAGCAGAGAGAGGAGTCCCGGAACTTGGCACGGCAAATAGCCGTTTCTAATGGCTACGAAACTGTAGCTCAGGATAGGTGTAGAGGAAATCCTAGGCCTCCAAACGACAACTCTAGCGATAGAAGGGTCCCGTTTATCCTACCCTTCATCTCAAATGATATAAGTACAGCTATAAAACGCTGCTTAAGAAGGGCGAGCCTAGAGAATTCGGTGAGCGTAGTTGAAATACCACCGAGTAATCTTAAGCGCCAGCTAGTTNTGAACGTACAAATTCACCTATCAGAAAATGGCTACATTACAAAGTGGTACCGAAAGCCAAGTAGTAAAAACATCTTGGTTCATTAACTCTCCTCTCACCCCTCTCACACGAAAAGGGCGCTTATAAGAAACATGTTTCGAACAGCAACCAACGTGTGCACGAGATGAGAGCAGAGAGAGGAGTCCCGGAACTTGGCACGGCAAATAGCCGTTTCTAATGGCTACGAAACTGTAGCTCAGGATAGGTGTAGAGGAAATCCTAGGCCTCCAAACGACAACTCTAGCGATAGAAGGGTACCGTTTATCCTATCCTTCATCTCAAATGATATAAGTACAGAGATAAAAAGCTGCTTAAGAAGGGCGAGTTTAGAGAAATCGGTAAGCGTAGTTGAAATACCACCGAGTAATCTTAAGCGCCAGCTAGTTCGTAACCGCCCATATGACCGTCTATGTGCAACTCAAAATTGCATAATTTGTCCCAGTGGTAGAGACGGTGATTGCATGAGCTTGGGTATAGTTTATCTGATCTCCTGTAAGACGTGCGGTGACGAATACATTGGCGAAACGGGTAGACCCCTCTGTGTCCGCATAAAAGAACACCTAGCCGGCAAACATAGACCAAATACCCCGCTAGGCACGCATAGGACCCAGAGACATAACGGGGAGGACTTTGAAGTATGTGTCACGATCCTCGCAAGCGAATCAAGAACACAGGCGCGAAAAACTCTCGAGGCATTCTGGATTAATTCCAGAAATCCGAAAATGAACCGCAGGGAAGAATGCCTCATTATCACGCGTGATACAGGGCAGTATATAAGACTGCTATTCTGATGGGAGAGGCACATTATGCTTTCATGTGATTTCTGTGCGGTTGGTCTCTACGTAACATACTTAGTGGAAACCTCATAGAAAGCGGTGAGTGTGCAAAGCTGTGTTCAATGTGGTTAAAATCTTGGTTTAGAGTTTCTTTGTTTGGTTATGGAGGCGTCTGGCCGAGTAGATTGCTATCAACTTGACCTTTCCAAGCTCTGAGGAAGGCGAAATCCGCCGAAACGTCAGCTTATTGGTGAATAAAGAATAATAACACCTCGCGTTTGCTCAACAAAAATACGAAGAATTACTTGAACTTAATTAGCTATAATCGAAGTTGCCGATTTTTTACAGATCACAGTATCAAAATAGTATCCAACACCATGCTCGAACCAAACCACCACTAAGGACGAGTGTTAAACAAAGAAACAAACGGAAAATGTACTACAGTCCGCATAGCTCGTGAAAATGAACCATTCAAGTATCCAAGTAAGTAATAGAAGTGAACATATGACGCATCCCTGAAGGATATATCAACGTCAACAGCGTCCTCTACTCTTTAGTTCGCCTACCGTGCCGATTTTTTAAAATCTGCACTCATTAAGTACTGCCTGGTATAAGTATTTAATTCATTAACAAGGTAAGCCAAATTAGACAAGACTTATCTCAAAAAATAGCTTTTTCAGTAATAACTCCCTCCTTGTATCTAGCCTAAAATGACCTATCTTTAGCCTTCGTTCTCTAAAATTTCTAGGTTTCCCCATTTGATGCGAAATAAAAGAATCTTGGGAGGAATCTTGAGCAAGCTCGTGTGAAAACTTGGAAGAAATGTCGATTACTATCAATTACATAAAACTGTCAGATCACAATTTACCATCAGCGTTCTAGTTGACCATAATAAATTCAGACACCTCATCTTGTTCGTTCCATTGCAGTTCGTTGGCTAATTCCTTCAGAAGCCCCTGAAGTTGATACTCGCGTTTACCTGGTCAACAGCAGCCATTATAAAGCACGTTGGTCCAACTATAAATTTCTCGTACAAAAAATTTCTATTTAGGATTCACCACAGCTTCGTGTTGGCGCGCACACCATGAAACCGGCGTTGGTTCAAATTTTTTTTTGTACAATGGAGAGGGTATTCATTGCGAAGCTCCTCGTGGAATCCTTAGCGTCGTAGTGATTCGATGAAAAATTTTCTACGACATTAGCATTGGTCTTTAGTGGCCAAGGCTCTCCTATATCCGTGACGCCGATGACGGCTGACGTAACTAACCTTCTTGGCTTTCCATATCAGACACTTAATGGAGCACTGAGATTTTAATGCCTGTGCATTGTAGCAACTGAACATCAGCAAAGTCCTTCAAGATTTACGCAACTAAGAACGGTTTTGAGATTCCAGCTCCCTATTTTACTGAGCCTACGAAACCTACAACACGCTCCATTGTCAGCACTTTCGTAATGGATAGAATGAACACCTTCATTTCTACCATTTTTTCTCGATCATCACTCAAGCAAGCGATGCTTAACGAACTACTGCGTGAGGCGTGGAAACATTCATCTGGCAGCCTGCCCTGATTTCTCAGAGCAGAACAGGATCTGACTACTGGCCAACTATTATCTACCTAACAGTCATTTTGTTGTAGGCTTCCGCCCAAGTGACTAGTAAAATATAATTCGCATGTACACACGCACTTTTAGTACGCGTTTAATAACTCCCTAGCCGGAAACTAGTCATGCAAGATAGCTTCGAGACCAACCGGTTAGGAACCATTCAGTGAAACATTGGCGATGCGCCAATCATTGAACTCACATTCAGAGCTATGCATTGATATATAGAAAATAAAAAACAACTGCTACGTAGAAGATAAATAGGAGAATGTTACCTTCATGTCATTCAAACCCAATTCATCGTTTTGCTCGAAAGTCCGTTCATAAAACTCCTTCCGTAAATTTGGATCCTCGAGAGGAGCATTCAGACTCTGTTGAGTATAATCGTTTAAAAAAATTAAAACGAAATGTGATTTGACTCTAAATAATCAACAAGAACAAACTACTGTATGATTAAAGGACAAAAAAGGATAGAACTCCTGGCGTTGATCAATCCCAGAGAGCGCGCCATGCATTAGACTTCATTAAGTATCGTTGGAGGTGTTTGAATGCATATCTGGCCTTTTACAATAACTCGCGGTAGCCTACCGATGTACCGAGCCAGCGCCAGTATCCTCCCAGATAATTCTGGTACCAATTTGCCGACCCCGAGAGGATGGAGGGCTTGGTGGGCCATGGGTTCGGGGGTGGACCGACTCCATGTGTGTGTCACAGCGGCGCCTCCAACCACTGCGGCACACGCGCGCACACTGTATGGTTATCAGACTATGGAACAATTTCCTAATAAAAGAACAAAACGCAGGTATTTTTTAAAAACAGAATAAACGGTACGCGCTAATTAACAATAAACCTAACCTGGATATAACTGTTGCCAGCAGGATCATCCAAAACCAATGTGACGCACCTTTTTAAAGCTAAAATCTGCAAATAAGCAATCAGTACCTCAAATCAAGGAAGAAGGTAGGGAAATACCTCATCGAACTGTTCAAGGAATTTCCCCATCCGACTTCGTTCATTACTAGCAGCACTATCACCCATGAAAAACGATGATTGCTGAAAAGAATGAAGTAGCAGCGTTAGGAAAGAACACATTACTGGCACAGTTAGGACAGAATCCTGCGTTAAGGTGCACTTATGAGATTTCAAAAGTAAGACGGCGAAACTGTACAAATGGGAACTAATCATGTTCCAAAATCAGAGTAATATAATTTGACAAACCATTACACAAAGCTGAAAACCAATACAACCTTCGCCACAGCGAAATATTTTACTAGCAATTACAGTGATAATGTGCTGCAAAATAAAAGAGAAGACGTATTGGCTGTAATTCACTCTCTGCTCACCGGTTTCCCTCATCTCTCTTAGCTCATCGGAGCAAGTTCTGAATCTCGCCGACAACCTTTCCACTACAGATGTTGTAACAGTCTTGATTTTTTCTACAGTAGAAATACGAGTAAATCAGTCCACCATCGCCTTCTATACGGACGAAGTGACAAATCGGCTGTTCCTAACAATGTCGTTCCTTCCTTTCTTCACTTACAGCAACCAAGCAAAGAGTTTAAGGTCATCCGCAACTGGCGCAAGCTTTGGCTATATAGAATCCCTCTATCAAATAAAGAATTCTCTATCTACCTAACAAATATTTTCTACAAATGGATAGAGAGCATTTCAAGTAACTGCGTGTAACCCAGGAGCAAATTTAGGCTTTGTCACATGACGGAGACACCGAGAATTCAGCGAACCCCAAAAACAGGTTCGTACCACTAACCAGTGTTCGCAATACCATTTACCATAATGTATGATTAAATTTAAGAACTGTTCAAAAACCAATTATAAACCTACAACGGATAGCTGGTCTCGAGTAGCCGACAAGAGGCCTTCAACAGTTGTGAAACGGCTACATAATGCACCTGGTCCAATCTAAAATAAACAATGCTAGCCTGTCCTATATGTGAAACACATTACATATAAGAGATATTATGGTGCGACATGTGATAAGTCACGAACCTCCAAATCAAGTTCTGGAATACACATTGAACATGTGTCCGATTTTAGAACATCCCGGGATAAATCTGCACTCTAAAACCGTACCGTCAGAAGTACCACAAGGAAACCACATTTAAAAAGCACGACTAATTTATGGAAGACAAAACAAACTTCTTTAATTGTTACGGATAACCGGCAACCATGATCCTTGATGGATCCTCCGCTTTTCACCTCGTTAGTTTTGTGTCCACAGTTATCGCAGCTCAAGGCCATAATAATAACAGTTTGAAAATATGGGATATCTGAAATAACAAAACCGACATAAAGAAATACCAGTATACACATTTCACACCAACAATGTATTGAAAACTCAGCCTGTTGGCTTCATAAGGACTTCCGTGGGTGATCCACAGTTTGGACACTCGATGGGAAAATGAAGGACTTCTCTTTTGGCGTCGTCAAATGATTTCCATTCAGGAGTTGGTTCTGGCTCTTCGCTAGAAAAAATCCAAAAACAATACAATGTTACTCGGTTTTTGTTTCATGAAGATGTTCCTTACTGATACGATTGTCTGAACATCACAAGGCCATTTAAAAAGGTTTCTCATTTATGTCCAATCTACTACGTACAAAGAAAATTGTACACAATCGTATGCTTAGTTACTTGAATACTTGGACGGCCAGGCCTCACTAGTTGTGCAGGCCCCATCATAATCTCCAGTTTTCGGAGTTTTGTTGGTTCAGCTATTGTGCTTCCCCGGAGTCCCGAAGTCAGCTTAATCAAACTCTGCCCCAGGTCGTAACCACCACAAACAGTCGCAGCCCTTGTGGATCAGGAGGAAGATTTAACACCATGCGACTAGTTTGATACCAGGACGGTGGTCGATTCTGGTATTGGTTTACTCGTAGCTGGGCATCCTGATGGAAAAGCCTGACTCCTTCTCAGCTTGGGAGACCTTGCCGGGGAGATGAACCCCGTACTGCCCGCTGAACGTCGCAGCCCGACACCCAGGAACACCCCTAACCACGAGGAGGCGGTAAGCCGCTGGAGCGACATAATCGTATATGGTCGAAAATAATCGTGCCCTTCAGCTTTAAAGAAATGTACCTCACCACTTAGTGAACTTTACTAGTTGAAATAAAAATCAGAAAAAATGTTAGAATCTAGAAACCTCCGCCAAAAAGATGCACGGAGTTCTATTCTATGAAGAGAAATTCTGATCTTCTGGATCACATGGAATGCGCCATTTTCGGCGTTCCTTCGTCAAGGCTTGTATTTCGAATACAGAAGAGAATTAACAGGCGGGATTTAGTAGAACACGATATAGTTATGTACCCTAACGTGTCACGAGAAAACCTTTAAAAAATCTTACCAGTCATCATCCGCTAATGCCAAAAGTTTTTGTTCTTCAAAGCTACGATGGTAGTGAGAGACAATACACCGTGGATCGACATGTTGTGCGTCAGGGTTTTGAATAAAACAATTCCCTGTAGGATCGCGCAGTTTCTGAAAAACCTATTACAATTACGAAAACGTATAGGTAGTAGGATAAAGGTGAAAAAAGAAATATTTTGCTCCATTCATGAGCTTATCCCAGGTTTTCTCGAAATGTTGGAAGTTAAGTAAAAAAAAAGCCAAATTTCTTCCTCTAGCCAAATTTTACTTATATTTAAGTTTGGTCTTTTTTAAACTTCATAGCTTACAAAAGCTTGCCACAAACTCATGCATGGTCACCAATTAAACAAGATGTTGATTACTTTTGTCTATCTTAAATAAAAACAGGTTCTCAAAAATACTGTTTCCCTACGAAATAGAAAACATAGAACATACTAAAGTCCATGTTCGCTGTAGACCTTTGAATTCTTGCAAGCGTAAAAGAAAAGTATCGATTTTTGAAGCATTTTCGGGATCGAGTTCCTTTCTTTTATCCTGTTCTTGCGAAAGTCCCGAGTGTACTCTTTCCAAAATTCCTTCAACTGTTGTAACTTCTGAAAAAATATATAGTTGAACCTACCGAAGAAAAACTACACAAAGGACGTAAAAGAAGACACCTCCTGGTTGACTGTTCGCAGGTATCACAAGCTCCAGCTCTGGCACTTCAATAGAAGCATACTCCGACTTGACAACTTGTCGGCGGAGATCGGCTTCTTTTAGTACGCGTAAAATAACTTCAGTACCATGTTCCTGCAAAAAATATAAGTAGAAAGTTTAACTGCATTGTACAGTAGGAAGTGGAAGAAGTTTATCTAAGAAAATTGATATACGACTTTTGTTGTAAATGAAGCTGAAATGACATATGACAGCAATTACAGTAAAAAAAAAGTACTTTTATAGTAGCATTTTTGTAAACAGACAACAATTCACCGAAGTGCTCATGCCGAAGAGTGTTTCTACGAATGTACAGCAGTATCTTCCTAGTTAAGCAGCAGCTCAATATATCCATGTGAAAGCCCAGTTAAGGGTTAACCAATGCCAGAAATCGGCATCGTCTTTGCAGACTGGTGCACTCTCTGTTGACCCACATTGGCCCACGATTGGCTTTAATTATAACATGAGGAAAACTGCACCTGGGCTAGCTTGCAGAACCAGTTCGCACACTGGGTGCTCCCACTTAGGACGTCGGGAATTCAGACATTCGGTGAGAGGTGATCAAATCTTGGGCTTCATAGAACGTGAAATCGAAAAAAAAGACGCCTATTACACGCCATGAAGACTGTTTCTAGGTCAATATTTATAATCCAACAGAACATACTCCGATATTCATGAGCCTCTTGAGGTCCAAGTGACACAGAAGAGACAAAAAGCAGGAAGACCGAAATACAGCAAGTATATTAAGGGAGCCCTGTAAATTGTGGAAGAAAATTGCGTCATCAAACTTCGGCGGTGTAGGCGCATACTTGTCTTTTACCTATCAAGTCATCTCATACCAACTCGTTTACTGTCTCCTCTTCTCGTACTTCAACGTCAGAAGAAAAGTCACTACCATCAACTGCTACTCATCAACCAATGCAACTGGTGAGAACGAATTGGATGCGTTCTATAATTCGAGGCGAACAGCCTTTCACAAATTTGTTGTTGGAGACCTTCAAGCAAGCATAGGAAGGTACAATGAAAACCAATACAGGATCAGGGAAATTGGAATAGGAGAAAGAAATGAAGACAAGTCGAATTTTTGGACTTCTATTCGCAGCATGTCATCACCACGGTATTACATTTTTCGAGAAGAAAGAAAATCACCACTGGAGATTAAAGTATCCTAATGGCACATCTGATGCGCGGATTGAGCATAGGAAGATGGTCTCTCTTTGATGCCTCTACAGTATCACCATTCTTCAGCGAATCTTACTGCTTCCTTCTCGGTCACAAGATCGAATCCATTGGTTGAGAGGAAATTCTTTTCAACGCTCAAGAAGGAAAGAAGCCACTTATGGCGAGAACATTCTGAAAAGAACCCTTTCGTTAAATGACCAGCAAATTTCTTTACAAACATGTTCGGATTGCATCTCCAAAAGCGCAGGTTTTCACTACGATCCCGCTGCAACAAATGTAAATCGTTAATAATAAATATTACATGTAGACGAACTTTGTGGGATGACCTATATTTGAACAGATATAAAAACCGCTGGAAGCACTTCGTAAAAACAAATGCGAGAACAGCTGTAGCATATTGGATATAAAACCAAACCATTTCTAAAGCACGATGACGGGATTAATGCCATCTTTCACCAGCATATGGAGTTCAGGGTAAAAAAAGTTCTTCACCAATCTTTTCCGCCCCACATTCTCTGTTAGACTACAGAATCTCTACCGTATAAAGACTACTCGGACTCCTCATTCTGAAGTTCGAGTTGCTATAGAGGACATGAAAAGAAGACCGGAAAACATCACAGGCCACTTCGTGCACGAAGTGAAAGTAACTACCACTCAATCTACATTTTGAGTGTACTACAAGCTCTTCGTAAAGACTAGTGCGTCACATCCAAACCATGTCCAGGGTCCGTTCGTGACGATGGTGCAAGGAAGGTATCATTTAAAGTGCACTGGAAAAACTGTACTCGTCACGACGGGCCATTCGAGCATCCAAATAAATAAATGTAGCTGTATGGTGATAAGCTATACGCTATAAAACTAAACAGATAAAAAAAAAACCAGCGGGAAATTAAGTCACCGAGAATCAAAGCTTTCAGGATAAATCTTAAGAAGAAATATGTGTCACATTTATTGAAAACCTTGAAGTTAACGACAAATGACAGCAGGTACTCTGCTCACTATTTAACACAACGAACGAAGATGACTTTCTGAAATCGATAATTTCCCGTTCATTGGAATATTCAAGTAGTTCAGACCCTCACATATTTATACACAAAATATCTCATTACGCATATACATTGTGCTTATAAATACTTCTTCAGTTCTAAGGATGCTTTAATGCTCAATATAAGGAATGCTCAAAAAACTGGTAACGAAATTTGAACAAGCTTGCCCGCCGCAAGCAGTATTGGCGGAGTACTTACTCGATACTTGAGCGGCCCATCCTCAGCTGTGCGGGCCACGGCATAGTCACCGTTTTTCGGAGATTTGTTGGTTAAGCCATTGTGGCTCCTTGGAATCCTGAGGTCAGCCTAGCCAAAGTCTGCCCCAGTTCTTCACCGCCACAGGCAGCCGTAACCCTTGTGGATCAGAGGGAGATTTGCCACCATATAACTTTGATACCAGGACAGGACGGTGGTGGATCTTTGCATTGGTTTACGCTTAGCTAGGCTTCCTAATGCAAACGCCAAACTCCTTCTCAGCTTGGGAGACCCTGCTGAGCTAACGAATCCCTCCGCTATACATCGCAGTCTGACACCCAGGAACACCTTCCAGCCACGATGAAGTGGTAAACAACTGGGAAGATTGGTGAAGTAAACAGCGGAAGAACAACATGTCCTCGCGAAACAAAATTTCGCTCGCTCAATTGCACTGGCGAATATGAGTCTTCACGCCAAAAAGAGAAGCGTTCGAAAAATGCACGTCTTCCAATTAAGAAATCGAATCTTACCTTCGTAGAACAGGCGAACCTTCGATTTTTAGGAAAAAAAACTCGAGATCCCAGTGGACTTATTTTAACTAATAGTGTTCATTTACCCAAATTTGCACTCTCATCGTAGCTTAGTGTTCCTGCGTGTCGGACCACGATGCAGGTGTAGGGATTCATCCCCAGCAAAGTATCCCAGATGAGGAGGCCAGTGTTTCCATCAGGAAGTCCAGCTAAGAGTAAGCCAATATCAGGATCCACCACCGTCCTGGTATCAAACTAGTCGCATGGTAGCAAATTTCCCTCTGGTCCACAAGGGCGACGACTGCCTGTGGTGGGTGGTAACGACCGGGGCAGACTTTGGCGGGCTGATCTCGGGAGTCCAGAGAACCGCAGTGGCTCAACCAGCAAAATTCCTAAAAGGTGGAAGTTATGCTGGTGCCCGCACAACCACTGAAGGCGGGCCATTGAAGTTACTAAGTAATAATGTTCAAGATGAGCTAACATAGTCGTCTTAAAGTGTAAAGCGGTCAGTGCGTTCGCATCAAGCATATTTTAAAGGTATGTCGGAAGATATATGTTTAAGGAACATAGTAACCAGAAAAGAAAAGTGCGACAACTACTCTATACATAGATTGAAATAGTGCCGATGTTAAAAGCCATTATCTCAAAAATCTTTTTGTACCAAACTTTGCTATCGTTAACGAAAATTTCACAGATTCCACATTACCTGTACAGCTTCAGCGCTTTGGATTTCATTGTTCTTGTACCCACAATTAGGGCATTCAAAAGACATTATGATTATCGTCTTATAGTAAGGTATTGATGTACTCAACAGCCTCGTTACTCCCTGAAACATCCCACACAATGAAGATCTACGCTTGCTCCGAAATAAAGTCAAGGATTATTGTTAAAAAAAACGTCTTAACAAGAAGCAAATACAACCGACATTTCCTTCACATTTCATACAAAGGCTTTCAATCTCCACAGGAACGACGTCTGCATGGTCTGCGTATAGTGCATTGGTGATCTGATGAAATCCACGATTACAATACGGTAACAATGGATAGCTAAGAATTTGAAAATAGAGAGATTGATCATACACGTACATCTTCAACGTTACTCGCCATACCCTTCAAAGTGGAAGATCCACCAATAACCCACAATCCTTAAGGTTTAAGACGAGTAATTAGATAACAGGAACAACGCTACATCTCACAATAAATATTGATGAAGACGCTGATTAGTTCAGGTTCCGCTTATTACGACCGCCCTGCTAAACTAGACACATCATAAGAAATATGTTCGGACCCAATTACTTTATAAAACTTTAAAAACGAGTACTCAGTTAAATCAGTTCATTTGCCACAAAGAAACAGTATAACACGTCAATCACAAAATAGAAGCAGCCAATACATTAAAATTTAAAGTCCTTGTATTTCTTGCTCTGATGTGTTTGTTTTTTCTGCTCTTGTGCTTTCCTTTTACGCTGAAATAACACAATATTATATAATATAACGTAAACAGAAAAAAGTCACTTACATTTTGTCCAGCTGCATGCTCAGCAACCATGTCTGACAAATCCTCCCGGTCATCTCCACCTCTTGCCTAAAACAACTATATGTATATATATATATATATATACAATATATATAAATGCATTTTATATATGTATATACACATATAAGAGATCTGCAAAAGATCTTAAAGTGAGAACAGCAACAGTTAGATTCGAAGCTGCAGATGCTTACAAGAGCATTCGCAAAGTCCACTCAAGGTTCGCTAATTACAAAACCAAGAAGACTGCACTCCGACGCCCAAACGAAACAGCTACAGATTCCAGAAAGGCAATGGACGAAATCATTCACACTACTGTTCGGATCTCTTGAACAGCCACGTTTTCCTGCCCACATATCAAACAAAGGAAAAAGGATATGTTGGGTCGCCAGTTCTCCCTTAAGAAATCCGACATGCTATTTCGCCGATGAAAACTCGAACAGCACCAGGTCCGCATAGAATAAGATCTGAACAATTAAAGAACCTTCCGTCAGTCTTTGTAAACACAATGGCTCCGTTGTTCACACGCTACCTCTCCGAATGCAAGGTTCCAATTCAATGAAAGAGCAGTAAGACCGTGCAATTGTTCAACACAGGTGACCTCCACGGTATCAGGAAATAACATCCGATCTGCTTAATGTCTGTGGTTTAGAAACTTTTCACTCGAGTCACCCTAAACAGAACTGACAGAACACTGGACGAAGGAGCAGGGTTTCGAGAAGAATTTAGTATTGTGCACCTCATTCAGGCGATAAAAAGACACACTGAAGTATTGCGAAAGTACAAGAGACCGCTCTGCCCACTTTAATCGATTTAAAGAAGGCTTCTGGCTCAGTTAAGATAAAAGCAGTCATGGAAGCTCTGAGCAGTCAGGGATTCCCTACTCGGTATATAAACATTCTTGCTCAACTACATAAGAGTTTCACAACCAAGATATCACGATTCTACAACGATATTAACAGCGACGTCAAAAGGGGGATTAAGCAAGTCCATACCCACTCGCCAATATTATTTACCGTCACCCTCTAGAACGTCATGCGAACACTAGAATAGGGCAATGTGGGAGTGAAAATCAATGGTCGGCAATTACACCATCTTGGCTTCGCTGATGACGTCGTCCTCACACCACCAAACATTAGCCAAGGTGAACGAATGCTTGCCAACTTTGATTTTAAAAACGTGGAAAGAATGGTCTTCGACTAAATCTCACAAAAACGGTGTTTATAAGGAACGTACTGGTTATCTATGCCAAGGTCACGCTGAAGGAAACGCACATGTTCGAATGCTCCGCCTGTCTACCTGGTTCCGGAAATCAACACCGAGGATAGAACAATCTGGATGATGCGTAAACAGGATGAAAGGTCACAGCGTTATTAAAAGCGCAGTCGAAAGGACGATGCTAGTAGTGCCCCGTCTTACAGAAGTGCAGAAAGTGATCCGAAGCTCGACCTTTGCCAACAATCAAAAGACAAAGGTGCCCTTTTATACGTTGAATTGTCGAAGATAACGTGTGCCAGACACGTAGTGCGTATGAACGACAACTGATGGGCAACAACCATTAGCGATTGGATTCCTCAGGATGTCAAACATACTGGAGGAAAACCACCGACCCGATGCTCAGAGTTCTTCACGAAATCCCTAAATGAAAAGTATGATGCTTAACGAATTCTTAGAGTAAGGCAGAACCCATTGGTGGAAAAATGGAAGATTTACTGGCTCCCGCTCGAATCACTCGACGATCAACTGAAGAACAGGTAATGCAGGCGACAAACGTATGCATATTTATATACATATATATACATGTATATATACATATATATGTACACTGGTACATACACACATGCACGTGTATATATTTACACGCATATAAAGGACTGTCTACCCGGCGCGTTTGGCGCAGTGGTCGGAGGCGACCTGCAACACACATCTGGAATCGATCCTCGCACCCATGGCCCACCAAGCCTTCCGTCCCTTCGGGGTCGGCAAATTGGTACCACTTATCTGGAGTGACAGCAGCACTGACTCGATACATTGGTAGACCGCCGCAAGTCATTGTAACGAGCAGATATGCATTCAATGGCCTCAAAACGATGCTTAGTGAAGTCATGTCGAATGCATGGCGCATCCCTCAGGCACTGATCAATGCCGACATCTTTATCCTTATTTTATGTAAAGGATTTTAAAATCAGTAAACAGAAAGTTCTGTAGAAAAAACATTTTAAACGGAAATAGCTATGCAGATAGTATTTCAACAAGGAAGCTAGAGAATTCATAACAATAACTCCTTGACGTGCGATGTATTCATGAAGAAATTCATCTACTACGTTGTTCTCCTATATGAAGAAGTATGAATACGTTATACTTACCTGTTTTCTAAGCTGCTCATCATACTTTTCTTGAAGCTTGCCTTGATCGAGATCGATCGCGTCAGGATCAAGAGAGACCTCTACTCCACCATCAGAAACACCTATCTTTTTCTGCAACGAGCAATGTAATATTTAAGATTGGATAGAAACCTAAGCGCCTGTACACGATGGTAAGTATATTCGAAACTCTAAGATCAAAATGCATTTCCAAAAGCAACTCACGGATAGGTCATATACATGGGTGGATCCCATCATTTGGCCTCCAACACGATCAACTCGTTTCTCAGGAATAATATGATAAGCTGCAGCTGGAGTATCAGCGCCTGCCAAACTGAAAACATGTTTTCTAACAATAGTCACACCAAGTAGCAGTCGTCAAGCTGCTAGATATACATGCCTCTCTTCAACTCGTCTTCCTTTACGAAGCTCAATGGTGTCCGGAGTTTCCAATCCCGTAACACCAGTCGTTATACCACTTGGAGTAGCTAGTCCTTCTGTCATCGGAGTTGCGATTCCATCTGTTGTATAGTAATTTTAGAACAAAAAGAAGTTCAAATCTACTCGAATGAGAATGTATACCAATGTCCGCATCTTCTTCCTCTTCCGCTTCACTTTCCTCATCGGAATCATCGTCTGAACCTATTTCTCCCCAATACCGACGTTCGATGCGCGTTTCGTCCTCTGGTTCCACTTGGCTTGTAGGCTACAGTATATTACCAGTATTTTCTTAGGTATGGAGTCAGAAAACCAAGTTTTTCGCATATATGTTGCACGCCTAATTCTAAGAATTTGAAAATGTAGATAGTAATAAAAAGAAAGTATTGCTAAGAATCCACGACAAAAGTACCATGGATAAAACGCTACATGTAGACACAATAACTGGAAGTTCAGTGCATAATAACAAAAAAAACCTTTAAATCCCAAGAAACAAGACTTAACACACCTCTTGCCCGAAAACATCACCATAGAGAGGCTTGCCGTAGTCATCAACTGGTGGCTTTCCCCATCCTCCTGCATGATATCCGAAGGCGCACCCTTCAGGAATTGGAGCATTTAAACCAGCTATGCGAATATTTGGATAGCTTGGTGGCGGACCGTAACGCTGCATAGCAATAAGCCAAGGTGGAGGAAACTTATGGGCGTTCTAAATGGCATACCAACACATCACTTAATTTAAGGCTGAAAGTTTGTACTTCATGTGTGACTTACGGGACCAACAGGCATGCCAAGTGCGATTCTGAGTTCGTCTGATAGATTCCCAGGTTTTTTGTCCTTCATGAGCGTTTCCACCTCCTAAGAAGACAATAGTCATACTAGGTTTAATGAGGATTTTTCAACCTATTCCTAACCGGCCTGGTTTTTCGATAACTGATAAATATGATAGAAGTTGAATAGTTGAGACTCCGCAAACTTATAAACGGCTTTGCTCCACTTACTTTCCCCTCGTAATATAACTCTCCCATCATTGTCATGAATGGTTTCGTTTGCCATTTAAAGAAAGCATCGTGCAACTTCTGATAATCTATATCAATCTTTCCCAATTTTGGACGAGCACGTTCACGCATCTTCGACTTGAGGTTCTGGTTTTCTTCCTGTAAATGTGAAGATATGAAAACAAATGTAAACGACTTGGAGAAGCACCAAAGACCTTTTCCCAAAGAGCTTCACGCATGTCCTGAATTCCAGTACGCTTGATAAAGTCGGGCAATTCAAATGGAGGACGTTCAAATCCACGTTTTCCAGAAAGATACCTGAACATAACGGTAACTTTCTTTACAAAGGCACCACCAACGACGAGTTTTAATCAATATCATAACGAATGACAGCTCTCACTTCCTCTTGGCGTTCCAGTGTCGAGGGACCGGAACAGTGTTTCGATAAGACTTTAATGCAACCAGCATGAATGGGTCTCTTGATGTTACATCAGCCCACTCCACGACGTCTGGACGACGTGTTGACTATAGTGTTTCATGGTTGAAATCAAATAAAAGACAAATCCAGAAGAGCAGATGGTATGGAAGAATCTCGACTAGACATGAATAAAAGCAACTCTTTACCTCCTTCAACTTTGCAATACTTGGCTGCATAGCTAAACGCAGTTTCCTTCTGGACATTTTTTCTTCGTTAGGATCGTTCAACTTGTCCTTAAAATAGTCAGATTCACAAAAAAGCGAACAAAAGAACGAACCATGAAACGCACGTTAATTTCTTCCTGCAAGATTTTTTCGGATATGGATGCCCGATTGTTTTCTTCGTCTCTTTTATGTTCTTTTCCGGACGAGATCGCACCTTCCTCAGTCTCGTTAGCTTCCGCAACAGCTTCAATCTGAGATTGTCTCAGAAAGCAATCAATAAATAGAAATTTAAAGCAGAAATACTTAAGAACACAACACATACCTTAAAGGCACTGAAGATTGCGGAAAAATATTGATAATTGGGATCATTTTCATCCAATTTAGGTGCTTCACCAACATAGTCTATCTCTACCTCAAGGTCATCAGTCTGCAAAAAGTTTGGGTCATATCTGGTGCAGAAATATGAAGACCGCATGAACGCACCAGATTTTTTGATCCGTTCTCTTCCACTTCGTTTTGTAGCTCTGACTCCGAGTGCTTTTCGTCAGAACTAAAGACAATCGCATCGCCAGCCTCGCTATCTTCTGTGAATCCTTTCCTACGTTTCGACTGCTTCTTTTTTTTATTCTTTAGTCGACGACGTTCTAGTTCCTAATGAGCAAGAAAGCAAAGTTGTAAATGAAACATACGATCTTAACTGAAGTCAAATGTTCGTATAATTTCTAAGAGATCGAAGAAATACAATGTCTTCAGCACGAGCACGTTACAAGGACCTTGTTGACAATGAGAAAGTTGAAAGAAAGTGAAGAAGGGGTCTCACCTGTTGCTGTTTCTTCGTCAGATGCTTTTGCTTGCCACTTTCTTCATCAGAGCTGACCCCTTCATCCACTGAAGTCATGAGTCCTAAATGCGATTAGTAAGGACCTCAATTTGATCAGCCCTAAGACGCTTAGCCGTTAGATTCCAACTTGACAGCTAAGCTTACGACAGGCCCCTAAGAGAGCCTAAGATATAGCCCAAGATAAAGTACAATCCAATGTCTTAAGAGACACACTCTAAAACGCAAGTCTAATTCAGACCTCGCAGACGCAACACGCTCGTCCTGCTTGGTTGGCAGTGGAGCATGATAACTCACTTACAAGCCAGCCAGCTTTCAAATACGTGCCGAAATGCTTATTGTTTCTCAAAGAGAACGTAGAATGTTTTAGAACCAAGAAATGAATAGCCACGATTGTAGTACCCAGCCATGTGTAAAATCACATCGAATCTCCTACCCTGAAAACATTCAGTGGAACTTGTTGAAATCTGCAGGGCTGTTCGTGCTTCTGTCCAGCAGTAGTTGCTCTCCTACCACATCAAAACCTCCAAAGTGTTCTCCAAAGATTCGAAATGTCAACTTAATTTCGTTGAAAATCTCAAGTGTAAGATGAAAATCGTAAAAGCACAGAACCGTCTGGGGTTTGTGCGGACTTGCCAGATTCCGAACTCACAACTTGAAGGCTTACATGTATCATACAAACTAAATGGCCGATGTTACCACAGTGTATTCATCGTCATTACTTCTTCAATGAAGCAAAGATTCACGGAGTTGGGAACCCAGTGAATTAGTCTCTGGATGGACGTCGACTTTACTTATACTCCAATCGCTAAATTTGAAAAGTTGCCACGGAATGTATATAGACGCACATGTAGATATATATGTATGTATATACATATATATATGTAGATATACGGATATACAGCTCTATACAAAATGCACAATACATAGGAGTTTCGTGATGTATGAACAGCAGCATACCACCTCTACTTAGTGCCGTCTTTTAGCCGAAGCCACACAACTACCCAGCAACAGTCGAAGTTTTTACTTTCGTAGGAATAAAAATAGATCAAAGCATGCTTCTCAGCACTTAGGAATCCAAAATAACAATCTTATACGGACAAACGACAGAACCTGGCGATTATCCCTTGGCCGGTTGTCCAATCCCGCAGTTCGTCACTTGTTGCCTCGGACGGTCTTGGCAGTCGGTCAGTTTGTCTTCATGTTTTGGTGGAAGCTTATTCTAGTACTTTTATTGCATCAAATGGATGACTTTGTAGATTCCAACATGCTATCCATGATGTGCATTGAAGTTCTGAGCTCGTTTTTCCTCCACTGATTTCTTGTTTGTGTTCGTTCTTGTGTTTCACTACACAATTCTGATGGCTCACAGAAACACCCGACTTTGTGAAATGTTTAACGAATGTTCTGGAAGCGTTTTCGTTTTAGTTCCATGAAAATTGCTTCCTTACGAATTCAGGTGAATTCGGAGATGTTCCGGCGCGCTGTGGGTCGAGTCCTTGCCAGTGCTGCCGGCGTACAGTTTTGTACGACTGCGGTCTGTCTTACTGACAAGGAACTTGCAAAGAAACCAGATTGGTAGTGTCTTTGCTAATATTTTGAATTAATTTTGAGTCATCTCTGCAAAAAGAACTAACTCTTATTAAAGTGAACGAGTATGACTCATCAGAGTTCCATTGCTTTAAAAGCCCTGGGCGAACCAGTTTTGAAAATGAAGCTGTTGATAAAGGAACTGACAGCCAAACTGTCGCTAAGTGATTTGAGTCTTCGTACTGCAAAAGTTCTGTCATTTGAAGGTGAGGTGACTTCTGCTTCCTTTGCTCCATAAGAGTGGGTCTGTTGAAGATGACAGAATAACTGTACCGGATTTGTCACGTGGAGCATAAACGTCTAACTTTCCTGGATACTTGGATGGCCCATCCTCACAAGTTGTACGGCATAGTTACCGTTTTCTCCGAATTTTGCTGGTCTAGCCATTGTGGTTCCCTGGAGTCCTGAAGTCAGCCATTCCAAGGTCTGCGCCAGGTCGTCACCACCACAGGCAGCCGCCGCAGTTATGGATCAGAGGGAGATTTGCGGCCATGCGACTACTTTGATCGGTGGCAGATCCTGGCATTGGCTTACTCTTAGCTGGGCGTCCTCGTGGAAACACCCGACTCGTCGGCTTTGAAGAACCTGTTAGAGGATGGATCCTCCCGCTGAACGTCGCAGCCCGACACCCAGGAACACCTCCAAGCCACGAGGGGGTGATAAACCGATGGTGTGTCACGTCGGAACTGCTGATCGGAAGCGAAGAGTTTTATTTCTTTAAACTTGCTCTAATGTGTTAGTAAGAAATAAATGGAAAGTTAGGTAAAATTAATATCCTCAAATGTATTCCATTCCCTCATCTGTACAAAACATTTCATGCAAAGTGCAGGTACAAAAAAGACGTGCTCGAGTTAGAAGAATCACTCAAGAGACTTGGACGTCACGGCTTCACCAATTCACCGTTAGTGCTGCAGAAATCCTACGAAGCTCTTAAAAAGTTAGTTTACCTAAGATTTTTTAATTGCATGTTCCCACTTGTTCATTTTTGTTCTTGCTTAAGTAACCCATTATCTGGCTCACATTCTGATGCTTTCATCAAATAACACCTATGTGATAATGGACCACCAGGCTTCGCATGCTGAGTTCACATGAGTTTCAGTCTCGAGAGCAAATAAATAGAGAAGGAGAAACTAAGGACGTGCATGTGGTGTGGTGGTGAACACGCTAGCCCCCGGAAAGAGTAATAGCTCGTTCGTCCCCTACCGCAGCAGTCCGAAGCTTTGGAAATATCTGAGCATCATCGAAATAAGTGAAATAAATAGTTTTCTTAATTTAGAGTATATATAAGCGGCTTTCTTGTTAGACTTTTTCTAGAATGTTTGTAAGGGCAGTCCGAATTGCTGTCCTCTTTGTATATCGAAAGCTGTTTTGTGTTCTAAAGTCATTGGTGACCTTAGTAAGACAAGATTCAACCTCGCAATGGTTTACACAGAGCTCATGTATCCATACGAGGATCGATCGTATTTGTTAGCCTACAGGAGTCATGAGCGGCGTTCATTTTATTAAAATTAAAACTTTGATCTTAAGAAATACAAATTGATCGTTTAGAAATCGTGTTCCATGTTCCATTCTTCAGATTTTCTGATTTTTCCAATGTGGAAGTACAGTGGCGCTTGGCCCGAGCGTGTGTTGAGAAGGCCGGCTTTACTAAGTGCCGTAAAGAAAGAGCACATTTATTACATGAGGTGGGTTGATAGACCTGTCACCTATTTTTTTTTAAATAGTTTACTACCTTAACATGTTAAAAGTCTGTTTTTGGGTGCCACACTTCTGTATACGTCAGACACAATCATGGTTCGGTCACCTGTGCCCATGAATTGGGAATTTTCACTTTCAGCCTGCTTGAAGTAAACATGTACCACTATTTAAAACCTTTCTGTAAGGAGTTTAATGAACGGCACTAAGCCTTGCTCTACTCCACACGAGCTGGTGAATAGCTGTACTGAGAATACGGGAATTTCCTGGGACATCAGTTTCAGCACTGTAAGGGAAAACTTCTTCCCTAAGCAGGAAAAGGCCAATCAAATGAATATGTTGGTTCCCTCACGAATATCCAAGAAATGAGCCATCCAAGTACCAAATGACCATTGAACCCAGTATTAAGTAGATTTCAATTGATGCAGCTATATCAAATATCTATGTATAACTTCCTTAGAATCTTGGACTTTTACATTTCAAACCCGTTGAAACATTTATGCTGCTTGGCAATGTTAGGACCTTACTAAGACGTATGGAGCTGTTTTCATCTTTAGTCATTCACAAAAATATAGACGGTTTTATTAATCTAAAGCGGCGTGGATGGAATGATCGTAGATTAGACAATGACACTACATCATTCCTCCCAATGGTTTATTACTTCACTGTGGCTGAGAGGTGTTCCTGGATGGGATGCGATGCATGCACAGCGAGGGGATTCATCTCCTGAGCAGGATCTCCTAAGCTGAGGAGTCCGGCGTTTCTCCTGCAAACCATCAGTAAACCATTACCTGGATCCACCACCGTTTTAGTACCGAACTTGTTGCATGGTGGCAAATCTCCTTCTGATCGACAAGGGCGGAGACCGCCTGAGGTGGTGGCGACCTAGCCGCAGCTTTTGGCTAGGCTGACATTGCGACTCCAGGAAACCACAAGAGCTAAACCAGCAAAACTCCAAAAGAATGGAAATTATGCTGGGACCCGCACAACCAGTGAAGACAGGTCGTTCAAGTATCCAGGTAAGGATCATCATTATATGCTACATCGTAAAAATTACGACAGCTTAACTATTTTGGAGCAGGATTGCTTTACTGTTTTGTTTTTAGGCAGTAGACTACGCGAAGAAAGCTCTCAGTCTCGAAGGTGATAATCATAACGCCGGTGCTCACAAATGGTACCATCTTGACAGTAGTATTCTGTTTAGTTTTTTCTTTTTTTAAGCTTTCTTGTGTTCACGACATTATTTAATTCAAAGCTTTTAATGTATGCCATTGCGCTTATAAAGTTGCAAGATATCGAGAAGAAAGTTGACCGCTCTGCTGATATTATCAAGCATTTGGAAATGGCCTCTAAACTGGACAAAAACGATGCATACACTGTACATCTACTGGGTCAGTTCATTGAGAATCTTTCAGTGGTTTTCACAGAAGTAGGCATCAGTTGTGACTTTAGCTTAACGTGTTTGTAGGCGTAATTCATTATAATAAGAACAACTACGCTGAAGCTTTATCATTGTTCCAGAAGGCGGAACAGATCAAGGTGAGTTTATTGTTCTTTTCTGGAGACTGATTATGCTCCTTTTTCTTCGACATGTGGACCGTTTTTTCCGCTTTGGAATGGTTTTATTTTGATGTTTTTCCTCAATAAGCAGACACGAGGTTGTTATTATAGAATTTATTAGGATACAATAACTGACGTTTCGGCGGTTTCGCCTTCTTCAGAGCCTGGGAAGGTCAAATTGAGATGCGATCTACTCAGCCAAACACTTCCATAACCCTAGCAGATAAAACTTAACAAATAAAGTTGTATTGATGGCTGGGTAGATCGCATCTCAATTTGACCTTTCCAGGCTCTGAAGAAGGCGAAACCGCCGAAACGTCAGCTATTGTATCCTAATAGATTCTATAATAACAACCTCGTATCTACTTATTGAAGAAAAACGTCGAGTTATCAATCAATGCCGAGGTTAAAAGAAAGTCGGTCATGGTGTTTTATTCTGATACAAATTGTTTAGGAGAAGTTTTCCGTCAAAAACCTCTATTACATCGGTCTCGTCCAGCAGGCAACGGGAAAGAAGGAAGAGGCAATCAAAAGCTACATTGCTGCGTATAGGTCACATGCTCAGAACGAATGTGATTTGAATGTGGGTCATTATTTGCCTAGTATTTAAAATCCGGTTTGAATTTATTTATACACCAAAATGGATATATGTATTGATGTGAACTAATCTCGCTTGGAGGGCGCGTGTAGCGCAGTGGTCGGGAGCGCTTTGCAGCACACATGGGATCGATCACCGCCCCTCAGACTCACCAAGCCCTCCATCCTTCCGGGAACGGTACCAAATTTGTTTGGAAGGATAGCAGCACTGGCTTGTTACAACGGCAGGCTACCGCGAGTCATTGTATAGGCCAAATATGTATTCAGTCACCTCCGACGATGCTTAATAAGGTCGAATGCATGGCGCATCCCTCAAAGATTGATTATTGCTGAGAGCTTTATTCTTTTTTTATCCACCACGCTTGCCATCGCTTAATTTGCTGCAGAGTTCCTGCTGTGTTTTTCTCTTTATTCTTAGCTTATCCAACACATGCCATTGTTTTAGGCGAGTAACCTGGGCAACTATTTTCTGCATTTGATAATTGACAAAGGAAAAACTTCTTTGAGACGAGTTTATTTGTAATACCACAGAGAGTTTTACTACCGAGGGCGGCGCAAAGATAGTGAGGGAATCACAAGTGAAGAAGATGTTTCTGTTCAAACGTCTTTTTTAACTCCCGAGTTCATTAGTTTTCCTTTTTATTGACAGGGAAGCACAAAGACTTAGATTGCACATGACGTGAAGGAGTGGATCGACGGGGCCTAGTTCAAGTTCACAGTTAGTGTGACGGGAAAGTACATGTCGATTACGTAGAACTGCCGCGCCAGATTCGGTTTCAAAGTCTAAGAGTTGAAAATAGGTTTAATTATTTAAACCTGAAATATATTGCCTACTTGTTGATAGTAGAGGTGGTTTAGTGCTTAAAATGGGGTACATAGATTTTCATCTTTCTCATTCTCGTTCATTCGTATTTCTAGAGGGTAAGAATTCTCCAGTGAGTTCTTTTAGAGCATTCAGCTAATTTTCGGAACATTTCAAGCAATAAATTTATTATTTCATATATCTATAATAGAGGAGTGTGAGTCCTTTTAAACGAGTCTGAATACAAGAGTAATTTACTTGTAATTTCAGGCGCGTTTTCTTGCGAAAGCAAAACTAATGAAACTCAAAGTGAAGCCAGAAGATTACGAAGTGGAAGAATACTAGTTAGAGTTGCTCTCCACATTCAAGATGTGAGGACTTTAGTTATTAATTCTAGTAGAAATAAAGCAAGTTAATGAGCAATTTGAGTGTCTAGTTCTTTTTTAAAAAGGATATTGTAACAAGTACATTCAACGCCAAGTTACGGCAGTTTATTGAGAAGTATACAGGACTACGGCAGTGTATTGGGAGGTATCTAGTACCATCACTAAGAACAGGGTACCTATTTGCATAAAGTGCGGTAATTAAAACTACTGAGGCAATGAGGTAAACGCTAGAGGTTAACACGTAGGTTCGAAGGGATTAAGAGACATCATAACGCATGGAATGCTACGTTGAAACGTCCGTAATTGTATCACCGCTTCTATTGCTTTTGGTCGGTGCTGAATAAGTTAAAAGCGTCGAACCAATCGCCATGTGTTATATGAAAGAGCCGCGGATACGAATTGATCACCAGTACAAGCACGGTCTGAAATAGTGAGTGTTACAGATTACTGGAGTCAATAGGGCTGGCAATAGATATTTACGAAGTGTTGATCACTGGTAGCAGAGAGAATGTTGTGGAATTTTAAGCTGTAGCAGTGCTTAGTTAGTGGGTAATATGTTGTCTCCACTCTATATTCTTCTGTTATGTACCGAGAATTGGCGTTTTACATGGAGCTCCCCACCTGTAGATCGTCGGAAAGACAACAAGAGACTGCCCACAAAACGTATATAATACCTTAGTTCAGATCTATGATAGAGGGATAGAAGGATTTGATGGGAGAATTTTATAAGGGTTTGAAGTATCTTCGAGCAATGTTTGGTCCTTAATACTGGTGTGAGTGCGTCTCAAGTACAAATCGTCATTGTGGTCCATCCAGATCTGTATAATCTAGAACGGCCTTAAGATCTTAGCAGCCTTTCATTCAGCGTCCTATCTCTTGGAAAGTGATGATTTGCGCACATTACACTTATTGAGGCGTCCGGTTACATTAGGTTCCACGTGCTACGTTTACGAATACAAGAGCAACAAGTAACATGCGCCAATTAAATTATACATTTATTATAAGGATGCTGAGATATGTTATACCTTTTTATTTTCTGTCTACTATAATTTCGCGGCAGGGTACTAAGCGAAATACAACCACAACGTTGTTGAGATATTTGCAAAACTCTGGACCGCAGGTGTCTATGGTGGAAAAAGGGCGCCGATTTGGGCGCCCCAGATCAATCCCGCTGACGGGTGATTGCTGCGGCAAAGATCGATAGAAATAGCTAAGAGACAGGCGAAACAAAGGATCCGCATGGTGTAGTGGTGAACGCGTTACTTCCCGGAAAAGACAATAGCGCGTTCGTTTCCCACCATAGACACCTGCGGTCCAGAGTTTTGCAAATATCTCAGCAGCGTTGTGGATGCTGGGATAGTTTCCAGGATCGGTTTTCTATTAACTTCGTTACTGGATTATAAATTCGTCGTTTTCTCTCTCAGCAATCGCGAGGTTGTTAAACAGCATACGTTTACTTCCATACAATAACACACAACACAACTGTAGCTGAGGCTTCGGCAGAATCGCCTTCTTCAGAGTCGTTTTTACGTGCCTTCTACTGAGGAAGAGCCAGTAATCAGCGGAAAGAAGACGACGATGCTGAGATATTTGCAGAACTTCGGGCCGCAGGTGTCTGCCGTGGGGGTCAAACGCGATATTACTCTTCCCCCGAGTTGACGCTTTCACCATCACTTGCGCGTTCTTCGCTTCGCGTGTCTCTCATGCTAGTTTTCTAACTACCAGTGCCATCAGCAGTCACCCGTCAACGGCATTGACAGTATATATTTACTACTATCGTGGAAGATGGACTTCTCCATAAATACCGCTAGCCACAGTTCAAATTCATCCATTGCCTATAACATCAAGCCACATGAGACCCTTTCACATCGCATAGCATCTTTCAGTTTGAAACCATCGGAAGAGAATGGGTATCACCAAGTTTGATTTATCAGTATTTGGGGCGGACAATTCTATGATAACCTGGATGAAATGACTCACAGAAAACAAGTCAATGAGTTAATTTTCCATGTTAAGCGGATGATGTTAGCACAATACTGTTTGTTCTACAATGGCTAACGTTTCAACAGACGTCGCCCTCTGCACAACCGGGAAAGGGTCAAATTGATGTGCAATCTAGTCAAGCAAATACGTTCTCAGTTCTCTTCAAACTTCCCCCTCCTTCTTCTCAACGAAATACGACCAGTGGTAAGACGATGCTTATAGAGGCCGGTTTAGAGACATCGCTAGTAGTCATTGAACCATCACTGAATAATTTACGCCATCAGTTATTTCGTAGTCGTTTGTATGTCTTTGTAGAACGCAAAATTTCCGGTGGTTGTATGAATTCTGTTTAGAAAAGCTGCCTCAAGTGATTTAAACTTAGGTTTTGAGTTTTTTCTCCTAGAGTTGTAAAAGTGTTTAGCTGATCCGATTGCTTATCAATTTCTCATTTCTGAGCTCTGTAGAAGGCGAAATCCGCCTGATAGCTGGCCAGTGTGAAATAAGTGTTTCATTAATGATCCAGTATCTACTTAAGAAAACGATATCTTATTGATAAATGTTAAAGTTAGTAAAAAGTCCGCACTAGGGACTACGAGGTGCTTGTGAAACTGTTGCAAAACTGCGTGTACGTCCACCATTCAAGAATTTCGGTTCACACATCCGCTATCACCAAGTAATATCTACTTGGATACTTGGATACTTGGATGGGCCGTTTTCACTAGTTTTGCGTGTCCGAGCATGATTTCCATTGATTCGGAGTTTTGCTCGTTAACCCGCTTTGGTTCTCTGGAGTCGCGAGGTCAGCCATGGCAAACTGTGCTCCAGATCGTAACAACCACAGGCAGCCGCAGCGCGATCAGATGGAGATTCACCACCATGCGACTAGTTTGAAACTAGGACGGTGGTGGATCCTGGTATAGGATTACTCTTAGCCTCTTAGCTAAGCTTCCTGGTGAAAACGTCGGATTCCTTCTCAGTTTAGGCGACTCTGCAGGGGGGATGTACATCCCTGCCCGACACCAAGAACACCTACCAGCTACGATGAGGTGCTAGACCGTTTAGAGAGTAAGTAGTTACTAGTAATTGCAAGTGAATTGCTCATGAAAAGGCAAACGCCTACGTTCGGACTGCAACACATCTTGCGCGGCTGGCAAAAAACAACGGATGCAGAAGAGCTTCAAAAAGGGATCTGGTTTCACCTAGGTAGCTTTTAAAGACTCAAAAACGAACTAGGCTGAAAAAATGTCGCTGTGGCTATTTCAGCCACCCGAATTCCATTGTCGACCCTGCTATATGGAGACTGTTCTCTATTTAACGCAAGATATTTGCAAAACTCCGGTAGGTAGGTGTATGTAGTGGGGATCGAACACGCCATCACCTTTTCCGAGGGCTAACGAGTTTACCACCACACCATACGCGTCGTTCATTTCGCCTTTCTCAAAAAGTTACCATTGTTCTCTATCTCTTCACATATCGCCTTAGATGTGTGTTATCGGTCATAGCTTGTTATTACGTTAACCTCATGGTTCCTTTAGATGCAAATTAACCACGTAGCAATAGATCCGCACGCTTCAACACAATAGATAAGTTTCCAAGTTTTCGAGACACTGTTGTCGTTCATTTCATCAATCCATTCTTTTTCGAAATAATGTATTAGAAAGGGGATTGCCATAACTTACCGTATGCGAAGCACTCATTGTTACTCAGCAAATGTACTTCGTTCTACGTTAGCTTCCATTTTTAATGTCAAATGTCAACCGTTATACGAATTCTATAATTATCCTTGAGACTAGTTTGAGGTTACACTTTTGAGGAAACTGAAAAACCACATGACAACAATAGGTCAACTCTCGCTTTTTCCATATATGCTGGAGAAAAATAGATTTCAGCCATCTGCCAATGTGATGTGAAATCTTAAACAGGGTTTCCGTAGGACTTTCGTATGAAACCATGAAATAATTCCTATATAAAAAAAACACTATGTGGTGCAGTAATCGGAGGCACCCTGAAACACACACGTGGAATCGATCCCGGCGCCCATGGTCCACCAAGTCTTCCAACCCTTCGGGGTCTACAAATTGGTACCAAACTTGTCTGGGAGGATAGCAGTACTGGCTCGATACATCGGCAGGCCACCGAGAGTCATTGTAAAGGCCAAATATGCATTCAATCACCTCCAACGGTGCTTAATGAAGTGGAATGCATGGCGCATCCGTCAGGTATTGATCAACGCTGAGAGCTTTATCCTTTGCCCTTTTATCTCTCGTGAACTAAAGGTCAATCCTACATGGGAGGTCTAGCCGTTTACTGCCGCAAAAACACTATAATGATACAATTATTCCATCTATATTTCGTACTCCTAGGATGAATCCGTAGTCCCTGTTATGCTAGCTATGAAAACATATCAAGCGGAATTAATGCGAAAACGCCATCGTGTTTCCTAATCCCTGTCCTAATTCCTATCCTAAGGTGTTCAGTAAATGTGATAAACGACTTGAAGTAAGAACTCAATAAGTATGGCAAGAATCGCGTCCTGTACGGGCCACCAAAGAAGCCATGACCAGTGGACCAACTCAGAATTCCGTGGTCACACGCTCGACTTGGGTTAGTAGTTTGTTGTACCGTATACGGTAAGGTGACGCTTCAACTAGATCGAGCACCATGTTCTTTAAGAGTTATTATTAATAATCATATCGCAGTAAGCAGCAATTTCTATTTCCGCGTATAAAGCCAATTTTTCTTTCTTTTCTTTTATGGAACTACGTGATTCATTCGCTGCGAATAAAGCCCTTGCCTGATCATCGTCCACCCTTTTGTAGTAGGTCAGTTCAATGAATTTACGATGAACCAAAGTATGAAGTTGCCCTATCGATCTGAAATCTCTGGCTTTCGATTGACATAGGTTTGTATTTCGTTGCTAGGATTTATGCTTACCGTTTGTCACCTGCAAGGAAGCCACCTGAAACCACGGACAAA